CAGAGGCGTTCGATCCTAGCGCGAAAGGGAGCGACGTCCGTCGATTTGTAGCTGTACTAGAAACTTCTTCGAAGCCGTTGGATGCACGACCCTCAACCAAGACGCAATGCGCATACGGCTCGCAGCAACACTGTTACGAGGCCCAGCTCTAGAGTGGATCAACAACAGTATAGTCCAAGGCGAAGGAACGTGGGCGCAGTTTCGTGCAGCACTGATCGAACACTTCGACGCGTTGAACAGTAGCTACTACGGAACACGACGCAACAAGCCAAATAGTGGCATGGGGCGATTGGCACCACCCACGACTGCTGACCCGATGGAGAACGACATGGGCGATGTGGAGCAGTGGCTAGCAAAAAATGAGACGTGCAAATTTTGCGGCGCTACAGGACATCGTATCTTGGCGTGTTGGAAAATGAAGAGAAGGCGTGCGGAGCTGAGGGACAAGAACAGTGCGGCACCCTTGAAGCAGAAAACGGACAACGTGGCAACTTCTGAGAGGGCGAAAAAAGGAGAATATGGTGGCGCAAATTTAAAACGTCACGACCAGCCGGCACCAGGGGAAATCGCCAAGACTAAAGGAGGATCCGCGAAACAAGACCCTGCACCGACCGGGAAACTCCAGCCGTTCCCCACAGGAGAAGCCTACACAGCTGCAAAGGCTTAGGGGAAGGTTCCAGGCATAGGAGAAGCTGTACCAGCCTAGGATAAATCCTTCTAACCCTACTCAGGTGAAACCTGATATTGAGTCAGCAGCTTCGAGCGCAGGACCTAAGGACGATATATTTGACGTACCCTATGATCCTGTAAGTGAGACCATCTACGGCTACTCGGAGCAGCAGCAGCCAGTACTCCTCGACGTGATCTGCAACGGGCGACGCCTCCAGGCACTAGTGGACAGTGGTGCGTCCCACTCGGTGTGCGACCGCGGGACGTTGGAGAAAATTGGAGAATCCTCAGAGGAGACCCAATTTACAGCAACGATGGTGGACGGTACGAAGCTTCACATCCACGGCGAGACAACATTGTAGCTGCAGATAGGGGCGTTGAGGTGGAAGCCGACGTTGCCGATCACGAACATCAAGGGATTCGATTTCATCTTGGGGCGAGATTTCCTGAAGCTCCCCTCAACGTCTTGTTGCTCCCAACGAGGTCGACAGTAGCAGTAGAGGCAACAGAGGGCAAAAGAGGGACGGGGGAGCACCCCTCAAAGAAAGGGGCACGAGGGTCACCACGAGAGGCTCCTACGGCGACTATACTCTTCTCAGCTGCAAGGAGGCGCTCCTCGAGGAGGTCAACGGTGAGCGTGGTGGGGCAAAGGGAGAGGAAGTGGTCCCTGACCGAGCAAAGGGAGTCAGGGAGCCGGGTGACGAGGTAGTAGAGAGTGATGTACATAGGGGGGGGGGGGGGGGGTTTGGCGCAGAACTCGGCAGGGAGCGCAGCGCGGTAGCGGGTGTCACTAGTGCGGAGGTGCGTAATGAGGTCAGCGACTGTGGCAAAGGCGGCTAGGTCAGGGAAAAGGTACGGCAGTATGAGGCGGCTAAGGGCAGCAGTGGCAGGGGAGGAGTAGCGCGTTAAGTTGCACGAGGCTTCAGTCAGCGACAGGGAGTTGACTTCTTCAGGACCTTCTCCCCTACCCCGAAGATAACCACTCTTCGGGTGCTGCTGCACGTTGCCGCTCAGCGTGACTACGAGCTTCACTCTCTTGACTTCAGCACAGCCATCCTACAGGGCAGCCTGCACGAGGAGATCTGGCTGCGCCGCCCACCTGGCTTCACTGGGTCGTTTCCTGCAGGTACCCAGTGGAGCCTCCGGCGGCCAGTCTACGGTCTCCGCCAGGCGCCTCGCGAGTGGCACGACACACTGAGGACGACGCTTGTGGCTCTTGGGTTTGCTCCTTCGACTGCTGACCCGACGTTGTTTCTACGCACCGACACTTCTCTGCCGCCGTTCTACATCCTCGTGTACGTCGACGACTTGGTCTTTGCCACTGCTGACACTCAGGCACTGGCCCTAGTGAAGTTGGAGCTGCAGAAGAGACACACGTGCACATACCTGGGTGAGCTGCGCAGCCATCTTGGCTTGCAGGTCACCTGGGACAGAGCACAGTGCACCATTACCTTGACTCAGTCACACATGGTGCAGCAGGTCCTTCAGCGCTTCGGCTTCACGTTCTCCTCACCACAGTCCACTCCTCTGCCTACCGGTCACTCGCTCTCAGCTCTGCCTTCGGATAAGTCCGTAGAGCCGAGTATTCCGTATCCAGAGCTTGTGGGCTGCCTCATGTACGTGATGACCTGCACTCGACCTGACCTTGCCTACCCTCTTAGCATTCTGGCACGCTACGTTGCGCCTGGGAGACACCGACCAGAGCACTGGGAGGCCGCTAAGAGGGTGTTGCGCTACTTGTGCAGTACGTCGGGCATGGGGCTCGTGCTTGGAGGACGGGCTCGAGTTGTCCTCACTGGCCGTGCAGACGCTTCTTGGGTTGATGACTTGGCTACGCAGCGGTCGTCACAGGGTTACACTTTCAGCCTTGGCTCCGGCTCTGTTTCGTGGCGGTCTACCCGCTCGTCTTCTGTTCTTAGTTCCAGTTGTGAGGCTGAGATCTACGCCACAGCCATGGCTGCACAGGAGTTACGCTGGCTCACCTACCTGCTGACCGACTTGGGAGAGCCGCCTCGTTCTCCTCCAGTTCTGTACGTCGACAACAAGGCCATGATTGCCTTGTGTCAGGAGCACAGACTGGAGCACAGGACGAAGCACATCGCTCTGCGTTACTTCCTTTCTCGAGAGTTGCAGCAGCGTGGTCAGCTTCGTCTTGCTTACGTGGCCTCTCGGGCCAACATTGCTGATATCTTCACCAAGGCACTTCAGCCTTGTGATCGTCAGCGTTTCTGTATTGTTCTAGGCCTTGTGCCTACTTGGTCTCACTTGCTCACTTCTTGACTTTGCTTGTACTGTGATCTATATACATATACCTGCATGCTTACCCTTGCTAGGTTGTGATCACTTTACTGCTTGTTCTCCTTTATATAACTCTGCATGTGAACTGGCCTTGTGTCCATTTGTTTGTGCTCAGAATGCGTGGTGACTTCGTGATCCACCCTGAGCTTGCTTTGCTTTTCTTGACTGGTCTTGTGACCCCTTGTTCTCCCCCACTTTGCCTATGGGGGTGTGTCAAACTTATATGCTGGATGTTGTGTAGGCTATAGTGGGGTAGCCCATATAGGGTACAACCCAATTAGGGTTTGTTACTTGTACCCATCTTGCTGCTAGTTCATTCATTCGCGTTCGTACTTCTGACACCAAGTACGCAGTCTCTGACGCGCCGAAATAGAAGCCGCGATCGGCTCGAAGCGCGCCCGAAGCCCTGCGCACCACGCATCCCAGGTGCTGTACTGGGCGGTTTCGCAAAATGAACTCCAGGTGACGGCTGGGCCTGTGGGCTCTTCCTCTTGCGACGGTGGCTCGTAGGCGCGTGGCGACGTCACGATGACTCGCCACCAGTCCATGGCGGGGCCCCTTAGCAGCGAAACAGCGTAGCGAATCTTCGCTGCGTCTGACTCGACGTAATTCGCGTCGAAGAAAACGTTCATCGTGAAGACCCACGATTGAACTGTCGGACCTCCACGTTGGCTCGGATCGAAACAGGGCGGGCGTTGCAGCTTGAGTGGCATTGGTGCCATGACGTCGTGGCTACCACTTGTTGCTGCAAACTCCACGTGCCAACGAGCTTCGCGAGGCCCACGCGGGCTTGGTACGGCCCTATTTCTTTCCATGCCAGGCCTCGATTGAGCGGCGCCATCACTGGCTGCGCCTGAGCGCTGTCCCACGCTGTCGTGTTGCGTCGGTGTGCCTGATGAGATGACGATCGGTTCTTCTGATTGCGCAGGTGCATTTGCGGGTGCCGGTGCTGGAGCATTCACCGTTGATCGCTGGCGAGCGGAGTCGCGTTCCGCCGTGAGCGCCGCAATTTCGAGCGTCGAGTCTTCGAGTTGGCGCACGAGACGGTCGAGTTGCTCCTGCGTCAGTGTCGCGATGTTGAATTCAGCCATGGCGGGGGTGTCGGGCAAGCTCAGCGAGAGCCTCTGTCGTGGCCGTGCATGCTTACGTGAGAGCACTACGAGCGGCGGTGCTTGTTTCGCTGAGAGACGTCTACCCCCCCCAAAAAATGAGATAGTGGGGAAGCGAAGGTGTGGGTGCGGTCCGAGAAGAGATCGTAGGTTCTGAATACAAAGTGTTACGAGTGCAATTGAGTGAGCGAGCGAGAATTGCACTATCGAAGCAAAACAATACAGTTGAGCGAAAAGCATGAGCGAAGTTATAGAGCGAAGCTAGTGTGGTAACGGTAATGCGGGAAATTGGGGTGCACTACGGGCCTAGCGCCGAGGTTTGGGAATTGTCGAGGCGGAAGTCCGGAGCGCGGGTTACCAACCGAACCGTTAGGTTGGGTCGCATCGCGAACAGTGGCGGGAGTCGTGGTCGAGGTGAGCGGGTAACGTTTTCACTCTGGGTGCCGATGGCGGGAGTGGTCATGTACGCGGTAAGCAGGGGCGCGAAGTAAGGAAAAGGAATTTTCCTTACAGGTAGGCACGTTGCCCTCGAACTGTTTGTCGCAAATTGTTTGTCGCAAATTGTTTGTCGCAAATGCTGGTTATTCCCAAATTGTTTGTGCATGGCAAAGATTTGGGATCGACCCACAGGCACAGCAGGGTGCTTTCTTGCTCTGATCTGACCTTCAGCCATGTTGACACAGCCGGGTTGCGGCCGACAGCCGGGTCATTATCTTACCATAACTTTGTCGCAAATTGTTTGTCCATGGCAAACATTTGGGATCGACCCACAGGCACAGCAGGGTGCTTTCTTGCTCTGATCTGACCTTCAGCCATGTTGACCAACAGCCGGTGGTGGTCGATTACGAGCAGCTGATGGGCCGACTGTTGACGACGGGCTTCCAAGCCACTGCTTTGGGCCGGGCGATTAACGAAGTCAATCGAATGGTGAGACCACGCTCATATGATTGCCGCCGGCGACGCGGAGGGGGGAAATTTCTACTTTTCGTGCGCTCACTTCCACTGCCATTTCATATCCCACACCCAATGTCTCTGGCCGTTACCCCCGTATCTCGGGCCGTTACCCCCGTTTCCCTCTCCCCCCCCTGGCTGCCTTGGATTTCCCTCTCGCCAAACCTCTGTCCCACACACCTGTTCGTCGTGTGTCATCCGTCATCCGTCGTAGCTGGCGTGGCGACTGAGCGACGACCCGGTGAAGGCCGACGCGAAGGAGGAGGAGAAGGACCCGGCGTTCCGGGCGTCCGTGCGGTGCAAGATCTTCCTGGGCTTCACGTCCAACCTCATCAGCTCCGGCCTGCGCGAGACGCTCTGCTTCCTCGCCAAGCACCGACTCGTGAGTCGCCACCACTCGCGGGAAAGACGCACGGGAACGATCGTCCATGTACTTTCTTTTCCGCTGGTCTGTGCGCTTGGCTCCTCATGCTCCTACATTGGTGGTTTTCCTGTTTTGCTGACGTAGACTGGAGTCGCATTTTCATGGGAATTGCTTTTCAATCTCTAAAAATCCTTCAACCCGGCCACGCTCTCAGGTGGATGTGATTGTGACAACAGCGGGGGGGATTGAAGAGGACATTATAAAGTGCCTGGCGCCCACGCTGCTGGGCGACTTCGCCCTGGCGGGCAAGGACCTGCGCGCCAAGGGGCTGAACCGCATCGGCAACCTGATCGTGCCCAACAGCAACTACTGCCTCTTCGAGGACTGGATGGGCCCCGTGCTGGACCGCTGCTTGGACGAGCAGAAGACGCAGGTGAGCGGAGCGACAGGGGGGGATTGGAGGGGAGAAAAACAATTGACGTGATGTGGGGAACCAAAGTAGAAATATACACGTAACCATACTGACGACCAGCTGGTGCCACTTCCACACACATGACAGACTGCGCAGTCGATACTCTGCTTTTCGAGCCGCCTAAGAATTCCCCTTTGTTTCCCTACGTTGTGCTTGCATTGCGTGGTGCACCACCAGGGCGTGGTGTGGACGCCGTCGAAGCTGATCGAGCGCATGGGAGAAGCCATCGGGCACGAGGAGTCGGTGCTGTACTGGGCGCACAAGGTCCGTCATTGCCGCACATCCTCCTCACCCACATTTTCATTCTTGTCCCCGTCCCCTCGCACACCTGCCCCTCCTCACACACGCGCATCTTCCCTTGATCTCCCCCAGCCTCACACCCTCGCGCTCCCTTGCACGCACATGAGCATCTTCTCTTGAATAGCGTTTCCCCAGCCTCAGCCTCATGCGCCATTCCCGTGCGCACACTCCCGCCATCCTCGTTGTTTCCCTGCGTGCTCCCCACCGCCCATCTGCACCGTGCAGAACCGCATCCCGGTGTTTTGTCCGGCGATCACGGACGGGTCCATCGGCGACATGCTCTACTTCCACTCCTACTCCTCGCCCGGCCTCGTGCTCGACCTCGTGCAAGGTCAGCGCGTCGCTGCACCTGCTGGGCTTGCTGCTGCTGTGCCTCTTCGACACGGTGCTGCCGCGCCCATGCATTGCATCGCTTTTCCCCTCCCCGTCTCCTCTTCCCTGTTACGGGAATTCTGCATTCCTTGTTTCTGCATTTCCAGGTTATGCGCTTCCTCCCCCCACCCCATCCCCTTTCCTCCTCCCTCCAGTCTCCGCTTCCCTCTTTGTGGTTCCCTCATCGCTCTTCAACCTACCGCCAAGTACATGTTCCCCTCCGCGCAGATGTGCGGCGGATGGACGACGAGGCGGTGCAGGCGGACCCGCGGCGAACGGGCGTGATCATCCTGGGGGGCGGGCTGCCGAAGCACCACATCTGCAACGCCAACATGATGCGCAACGGCGCGGACTACGCTGTGTACATCAACACCGCCAATGAGTTCGACGGCAGCGACTCGGGTGCCAGGCCCGATGAAGCAGTCAGCTGGGGGAAGATCCGCGTGGAGACCAAGGCTGTCAAGGTCAGTCTGCGATGCGCACGGAGGGGCATGCCACCACGCACACCAACAGGGAAGAGTTTTGCTAGTGAGCGTGATAGTACTTATTTGTGGGCGCAGTTTCCGGAGCTGCCAGTTGGGGAAAGGTTAGAGACGCAGTGGGTGAAGGCGCCATCAACCTGAGTCACAGTCGGTGCCAAACTCAAGCGCCGCATTCCTTTTCTGCTGCTCCAAGTGCCTTTTGTCCTATTGACGCACCACCCCTGCATTGAACCCCTCTGCTGTTTGAAATAACTTTTGCCATGCCCCCTCCCCACACCTCGCATTTCTTCCTTGCGCCCATCGTCCCTCTGCCACCAGGTGTTCTGCGATGCCACCATTGCCTTCCCCTTGCTCGTAGCGGAGACCTTTGCCCGGCACCTGCAGCAGGAGCAAGCAAAGCAGAAGGAGCCGACGAAATAGGCGGCAAGCAGATAGGGAAAGGGGTGCAGGCTGGGAGAAGGATATCCAAGGAATTGAAGAACCTAGAATACTGAACCTGATTTACCCGGAAATTGAGGGTTGTTTCGAACAGTCTGGCTTTAACGAATTAACGATTCAGACTCCGCTTAAGAGTCAGCGGGAAAATAAAAACATGGTCGCAGCGGAAGATCCAGTCTTTACGTGGCGGTCACAAAGTCACACTTTCACAACATCGACACTTTACAATGCCACGGATAGCCTCTAGTTCCTTGGGTGTCTGATCCCCAAAGCCAAAAAGGGTTCAAATGGGCTTTAAAACCGAAATATAGAATAGTGAACCCCGTCCCAGCTTGAAAGGATCTTCCCGGGTGGGTTTGCAAAGCACTGTTTCAAACATTTCGTGTGTGCAGATCGAACCCATTTGATTGGCTCCCGCCAAAAACGAAATTTCTAGGCCTTACACAAGGAGTCGCATTCAACATGATGCACCCGCACGACGGCTGTACGGCGATCATTGCGATCGTTGGGCCCAACTCCAACTTCAAGCTGGACCTGGGTTCCACTACTTCTTTCCACTCTAGTCTCTAGTTTAGCCAAGCTTAGAATAGCTGAAAACGTAGGCATTTTTGCCTAGGCAACTACCATTTTTATAGATTTAATCCACATCCTTCTATTCGTGGCCTAGTGACGAGGGATCTTACGCGTCTCGTAGCGATACTTGCCTCGAGATTTTTCGGTTGAACGCGCTCGCCGCCGAAACGCCCTTTCGTCGCTCAGCTCATCACCTTCACATTCGCGTGGAATTGCCCTCGCGGCGGCCTTATTCCGTCCCCCCCCGCCCATCACTCACCTCTTCGCATTCGCGCTTGCCTCGAAACATTCTCTCGTCTCCCACCCCGTTTTTCCCATTTCGTCCCATCGCTTACGAGCTCTCCCCTCCTGTCCTGTCGCCCTCTCTCTCGCCCCTCCATTCCCGTCGCGCTCTCTCTCTCCGCGCCCTTCTCGTCGCCCTCTCTCTCGCCCCTCTCATCTCGTCGCGCTCTCTCTATCCGCACCCTTCCCGTCGCCTCCCTTCCCATCGCGCTCTCTCTCTCCCCTCCCTTCCCGTCGCCCTCTCTCTCGCCCCTCCCTTCCCATCGCGCTCTCTCTCTCCGCGCCCTTCTCGTCGCCCTCTCTCTCGCCCCTCTCATCTCGTCGCGCTCTCTCTATCCGCGCCCTTCCCGTCGCCTCCCTTCCCGCCGCCCTCTCTCTCTCCCCTCCCTTCCCGTCGCCCTCTCTCTCCCCCCTCCCTTCCCATCGCGCTCTCTCTCTCCGCTCCCTTCCCGTCGCCCTCTCTCTCGCCCCTCCCTTCCCGTCGTGCTCTCTCTCTCCGCGCCCTTCCCGTCGCCCTCTCTCCCGTCGCCCTCTCTCCCATCGCCCTCGCTCTCTTCTTCGCTCTGTCCCGGCGTTATATATATGCTTGCCTTCCGGCGAAGTGCTCTTTCGCCTCTCGCGCGATCGTTACGGTTCCTGTCACTGTCGGCACCACGAAACGCTCTCGAGTAGTCGCCATCGCGCTCCTCTCTACCCGCGCCATCGCCCCTCCCTTCCCTTCCCCACGATATTGCCATCACCCTTTCCTTTCGATCAGCGTACCTTTATTCCATCCCGTCTCGTCGCCCTCAAGAACTCCCCTACCTTCGCGTCTTCTTGTTGTTCTCCCATCCCCTTTCTTCGCCCTCGGTGTCTCCGCTCCCCTCCCGTCTTTCTTCCTCTCTCCGCTCCCCTAACGTCGCTCTTCCCATCTCCGCTTCCATTCCCGTCCTTGTTCCTCTCGCCCTTGATCTTTCCCGTCGTTATTCCTCACTACCGTCCCCTCCCCTCCCCTTGTTAATATTATTCTAAAAGAGCAGGCCGCAGGTTCTTCGCTGCATTGGTCTCACAGGTCGACTAGCTCTGGATCACCTAAACATTCTCGTTGCATGTGTGTGGGTTGTCGGAACTGCTTGTGTCGTTGCGTCACGCAAAGCTTCTGGTACATTCACTGGTACATTCACTGGAACGATTGGAAGCTTTGCACGTCGTGCAGCCTTGCGCCAAAATCGCACATGTATGTGCGAGAAAGGTTGTCACCAATCAGAGTTCATAAATATGATCCAATCGTTCCCCCTTCACTTTGAGGCAAACTCTGGTGTTGAAAGAAAATCTCACACGTAACTTCCAACTTTCCCAAAACTTCCGTTTTCAAGTTGGACCCAACTAGAAGGGGGGGGTCACTATTTTAGCTGCTGGTTGCCTAATAATTTCGTAGAATAGCGAAATGTTTTTTTTTTTTTTTTTTCGCATATCGCGCAGTCGTCACATTTCCCGTCACAATCGGCCTCGCTCTGCTGTCGCTGCGCCACTCTTTGCAACGTCGCCATCACGCTCGCAACGAAACGCCCTCCCATCGCCCTCCTCTCTCCCGTCGCCCTTCCTCTCTCCCATCGCCTTTCCGCTCTCACGTCGCCTTCCTCTCTCCCGTCGCCCTTCCTCTCTCTCGTCGCCTTCCTCTCTCCTGTCGCCTTTCCTCTCTCCCGACGCCTTTCCTCTCTCTCGTCGCCTTTCCTCTCCCCCGTCGCCTTCCTCTCTCCCGTCGCCTTTCCTCTCTCCCGTCGCCTTCCTCTCTCTTATCGCCTTTCCTCTCTCCCGTCGCCTTCCTCTCTCCCGTCGCCTTTCCTCTCTCCCGTTGCCTTCCTCTCTCTTATCACCTTTCCTCTCTCCCGTCGCCTTCCTCTCTCCCGTCGCCTTTCCTCTCTCCCGTCACCTTCCTCTCTCTTATCGCCTTTCCTCTCTTCCGTCGCCTTCCTCTCTCCCGTTGCCTTCCCCCTCTCTCGTCGCCTTTCCTCTCTCTTTGCCTTCCTCTCTCGTTGCCCTTCTTCTCTCCCATTGCCCTTCCTCACTCCCCTCGCCCTTCTTCTTCCGCCTCCCGCCGCCCTCGCGTCCCATCGCAATCGACTTCCCAACGCACTCCCGTCACCCTCTGTGTCGGCGCCCCATTGCTCGTACTGTCGCTCGTCCCGTCGTCCGTCCAATCGCACGTACCGTCGCTCGTCCCGTCGTTCGTTACGAACGCCCTCCCGTTCCGACGCCCTCGCGAAATCCCCAACCATCTCGTAGTAGTATCGATCTTGCTATCCCCCCTTCCTTCCGCTCAAAGTACTTCCCCTCGCGTCGTTCCTCTACTCTTCCCTCCCCTCCCGTCGATCCCTCTTCAGGTCCTTGTTCCCGTTCCCTCGCTCTCTCCCCTCCCTTTCCGTCGCCCTAGCTCTCTCCCCTCCCTTTCCGTCGCCCTCACGTTCTCCCCTCCCTTTCAGTTGCCTTCGCTTTCTCCCCTCCTTTCCGTCGCCCTCGCTCTCTCCCCTCCCTTTCCGTCGCCCTCACGTTCTCCCCTCCCTTTCAGTTGCCCTCGCTTTCTCCCCTCCTTTCCGTCGCCCTCGCTCTCTCCCCTCCCTTTCCGTTGCCCTCGCTCCACCTCATCTCACCAACCCCAATGCCCCTCCCATCTCCCTACCACTCCGCGGATTTTGCTCACACATCTCTCCTTTCGCGTCCTCGTTTCTGTTGCACTATCTTTCTCTTCTCTCGTCCCCTGAAACTCTATGTTTTTTCGTTTTTTTTTTTTTTCCCATGTTGTTATTGCCGCCATAGCAGGGACATGGTCTAAGGCAATTGCTTTGCGTGAGTTGGGCTTGCTTTGCATGAGTTGGACTTGCTTTGCACGAGTTGGACATGCTTCACGATGTGAATTTGGCACTGGATGAAAATTACTTGCACGTCGCAAACTTTGGAGCGACGCATTTGCACATGCTTCGACGATTTTCGTTTGAGAAGAAATGTGGAGACTCGACCAATATCATATGCGCAAGTAAAAAACAAGCAAAACGAATGCAAAATGCAAAAACAAGCAAAACGAAATCACGGTGATGTGTGACTTATTAGCTCAACTCAGCTGCTCTGGACATACCATAAGAAGAAGAATTAAAACAAACAAACAACTTGTACTCCTACTTAGCAGCAGCAACAGCCTCATTTCTGGACGGAAACAACTACTTTCATCTTGTCTGCGTAGTGCACAGACTGTTTACAGGCGAAGTATAGGACCTTATCAAATGCATATAATTGTTATAGGCTGCAGTGAGGTACTCCTTAGAGAGAACAACTCAGTTAGGGTTGCTACTTGTATTGCTAATGCAAACATTCCGTTGCTTCTACTTCTAAGATGGTATCATGAGTATGTACGCTCCTAACCTCGCCTAGCTTGCTCCGTCCGTGGCGCCTCACGCTCTAGGTTCCGCCCTCCCTCCTAGCCCGTTTCCGCGCGACACTAGAGCCCGCGCCCTAACCTAGCGCGAGCCCACGCTCAGCCCGCGCCCAGCCCGCGCCCTAGCCTAGCGTGCGCCCTGCCCCAGCCCGTAGCGTCGCGCGTGCGCTCTGCCCCAGCCCGTCGCGTCGCCCGTGCGCCCTGCCCTAGCCCGTCGCGTAGCCCGTGCGCCCTGCCCCAGCCCGTCGCGTCGCCCATGGCCCCTGCCCCAGCCCGTCGCGTCGCCCGTGCGCCCTGCCCTAGCCTGTCGCGTAGCCCGTGCGCCCTGCCCCAGCCCGTCGCGTAGCCTGTGCGCCCTGCCCCAGCCCGTCGCGTCGCCCGTGGCCCCTGCCCCAGCCCGTCGCGTCGCCCGTGCGCCCTGCCCTAGCCCGTCACGTAGCCCGTGCGCCCTGCCCTAGCCCGTCGCGTAGCCCGTGTGCCCTGCCCCAGCCCATCGCGTCACCCGTGCACCCTGCCCTAGCCCGTCACGTAGCCCGTGCGCCCTGCCCCAGCCCGTCGCGTCGCCCGTGCGCCCTGCCCCAGCCCGTCGCGTCGCCACCCGGGCATAGCAGCGCGCGCCCCTGCCCAGGAACGCGCATCCCAGCCAGGAACGCGCGCCCCTGGCCAGACATGCGTGCCCCAGCCAGAAACCCGCCCACACCTCCTCATAACCGCCCACACCTCCTCCTAACCGCCCACACCTTCTCCTAGCAGCCCACACCTCCTCCAAGCCGCCCACACCTCCTCCTAGCCGCCCACACCTCCTCCTAGCCGCCCACACCTCCTCCTAGCCGCCCATACCTCCTCCTAGCCGCCCCCACCTCCTTCTAGCTGCCCACTGGCACCTCTTGCAGCGGCTGGCACCTCTAGCGCGCCACGGCCCGTAGCAGGCCGTTCTCGGGCTTTCTCACCATCGGTTTTCCCGTTCCCTACCGTTCCTTCACTGGGTTCACCGTTCCGCCGCGGCTGGAGGCCGCTACTCCTAGTCCTAGTTTCACCTGGTGCTCCTAGTTGTTCTCGCTTCGTGCTCCGGCCGTTCCTCGCCTAGTTTCACCTGGCGCTCCTAGTTGTTCTCGCTCCTCGCTCCAGCCGCTCCTCGAGCCCGTTGTTTCTAGCCTGCCGTTTCTAGCTCCGGCCGTGTCTCACTCCAGCCGTTCCTGCTCCAGTCGCTTCTAGCTCACTTTGCTCTGTGCTCCGGCCGTTCCTCGCCTAGTTTCACCTGGCAGTCCTAGCTGTTCTCGCTCCTCGCTCCAGCCACTCCTCGAGCCCGTAGTTTCTAGCCTGACGTTTCTCGCTCCGGCCGTGCCTCACTCCAGCCATTCCTCGTTCCAGCGCTTCTAGCTCAGTTTTCTCCGTGCTCCGGCAGTTCCTCGCCTAGTTTCACCTGGCGCTCCTAGCTGTTCTCACTCCTCGCTCCTAGCTCCAGTCGCTCTTAGCCTGCAGCTCCTGCACCCCGCTAGCCTTTACTATGGCGTCCACTAGAGTTCTCCAGCACCAGGGACAGCAGCAGCGGCAGTTTCAGCAGTGGGAACCTCTGCAGCAGTGGCGCCCTCAGCAGCAGAGGAACCCTCAGCAGCAGTGGCGCCCTCAGCAGCAGTGGCGCCCTCAGCAGCAGTGGCGCCCTCAGCAGCCGTGGGGGCCTGGTGGTTCCGGTAGCGTTGGCTGCAGCAGCGGCCCAGCCAGCTTGGGGGCTCGTCGCGGTGGCCGCGACGTCAGCCTCTGCCAGTACAAGGTCTTGACTGGCCCTGGTGCTGGCACTACCTGCTCGCGTCCTGACCACTCTACATAGCGCTGCTACAGCCGCCTCGACGACCTATACCGTGAGCGTTTTGGGTCTGAGTCGAGGCCACCGATCTGGCCCAGTCTGTCTCGTAGTGGTTACCCTATGTTTATTCTCTCACGTATGGATCTCTTGGCTTGCGTGTACCTAGCTTAGGACCTTTGCCTATTGGTAGTGTAGGTACTTGTGCTTTTAGTGTAGGTGCTTGTGTAGTCACTAGTCCAGCCGTGACGACTTCTGTCGCGTCGCTCTCCTTCACGTTGGACTCAGGCACATTTTAGTGCTCCTTTCGCGACCACACCACTGTCACACCTCGTTCGGCTCCAGTCCCAGTTGCCCTGGCTGATCCTACTTCAGGACCAGCAGTCGCTCGCAGCTGGACCACTCTCCCGTGCCTGGCTGTCCATTATGGTTTCCTCATTGGTCTCTACATCCCCTCGTTCTCTCGGAACTTGGTGGGTGTTGGATACCTTCAGGACCGTGGGATCAAAGTCACATTTCCTGCGCCAGGAGGACGACGATCTGTACGGATGCCTCCACCGTGGCACTTCTTGCCACGTTCACCAGAGAGCCCCACTCAGGTCTCTTCGTTCTGCACACTGCGTCCCACCAGGTAGCAGAGTCCGGCCAGGTTACTGCGCCCCCCCAGGTAGCAGAGTCCGTTCAGGTTACTGCGTCCCCTCCGGTTGCTGTGTCTAGTCAGGTTGCTGCGTCTGGTCAGGTTGCTACGTCTTGCTCCTGTCGATCTCTCGCCCACCCGACCGTCTTGTGGCACCACCGTCTTGGCCACGCGTCGATCCCCCGCCTCCGCAACATGGCCAGTCACCATCTTGTCTCGGGTCTCCCTCACGTCTTTGCGTCGCTCCCTCCATCGCCTGCACCGCCGTGCACTCCTTGGGTCGCCGGCCGCCTGCGCGCCACTCCGCACTCCTCCTCCCTTCGTCCGGCCACTGCTCCCTTCCAAACCCTCCACTTGGACGTCTGGGGCCCTGCCCCTACGCAGGGACCTGAGAGGGAGCGCTACTTTCTGGTGGTCGTCGACGACTACTCCAGGCGCCCCCCCCCCTGGTCCTGCCCCGGCAGGTGTGTCTCACGCCACCCCTCTACCCCCGGCCGCGCGTCAGGTAGCGTCTCCCTCCCCGCAGTCCTCCTCACAGTCCCCTCAGCAGCCTTCAGCATTTCCGCGACAGGTTCTTGTGGACTCCGAGGGTGTTGGAGCTGGAGGTGCTGCCACTGGAGGTACTCGTTTTGGGGGTGCTGGACCTGGAGGTGCTGGCGCTGGAAGTGCTAATTCTGGGGGTGCTGGAGCTGGAGGTGCTGGTGCTGGAGGTGCTAGTTCTGGGGGTACTGGACCAGGAGGTCCTGGCACTGGAGGTGCTAGTTTCGAGGAGACTGGAGCTAGCGGCACTACTACTACGCCTCCCCACCGCCACGACACACGTCTCTAGGTGGCTCGCCGACGTGAGCGTGAGGAGCAGGAGCGGTCGGAGCAGGAGCTGCGGCAGTTGGACCTGCAGGAGCAGTAGGAGCAGCAACAGCAGCGTTCGCCGTAGCCGCCACTTTTGCAGCAGCTGTTCCCACCAGTGAGTGGCCTTCGGGCCCTTGGTCTTCCCTCCGCTCCTCCCGTCCACTCACAGTCTCCTACCGCGTATGGCCCTACGTTTCCTCCTCCGGACTCGGCTCCGGTTGGTTTCTCTCCTCCTCAGTCACAGTCGCCTCCTCCTGTTCTCCCGCACGACTGGACCACTCGTTGTCCTCCTCGTGCTCGTCCCTCATCTCCTTTTGACGACATCCGCACTGTCTTGTTTCGTTCTAGTCCTCGTCGTGCTCCGCCTGTGTCTGTTCTCCCTCCACCTCCTGCGTCGTTTCGCACCGTCTCCTCTCACCCTATCACTAACTACTACCGTGCTGCTCGTCTTGTTGTCTCACGCGTTCTCGCCTCTCTTGTCACCGACCCTCGTGCCTCTCTGTCGCCTGTCTCGGCTCTTACTGCCGCTGTCGCTGACTTTGCTTCCACCCGCCGCCTTGACTTCGCCACGCGTGTAGTGGCTACTCCGCCTGCCCGTCCTCTGTCTGCTGGGGGTGAGTTTGCCCTTGGCTGTGACGTCCTAGAGGACATGCAGTTTGAGCTAGGGTTCTTGGCAGCCGCTTCTCCCTCTCTCTGTGCCATGCAAATTTCCTCTGAGGGAGACCCTGACGCCCTTGACATTCCGACTCCTCGCACGTACCGTGAGGCAGTGTCAGGGGAGTGGGCCTCTCAGTGGAAAGCGGCTATGGACTCAGAGTTAGCGTCTTGGCTATGCACAGGCACCTACGTCGACGCAGTTCCCACTCCCAGGGCGAACGTAGTCGACGGTATGTGGCTCTTCAAGGTTAAGCGGCCGCCTGGATCCCCATCTGTGTTCAAGGCGCGCTACGTGGCTAGGGGTTTCAGTCAGCGTGAGGGAGTTGACTTCTTCCAGACCTTCGCCCCGACACCGAAGATGACTACTTTTCGGGTGTTACTGTACATA